CAACACCACCTATGAAACCTAACCACGCGCATGGAAAAGCTGCTACAGTACAGTGCAAAAAATGACAGGAATCGTTGAAAGGTCCACAAAGCTTTCAATTATGTTAATTCATCTAACTCTTCATTAACCCATTCGCGACAATGGCAGCCACCGGTGGCTGACGCGAAGATGCTCACTTGGGACCATTTCATCCACCGGTTGCCCTCATGGAAAAAGTTTCAGCACCAATTGTTGATTTTTGCCACTTCACCTCACTTCAAGAAAGGGTCGCGAGGGACAATGATGGCCACCGGTAGCTGCCACTTTGCGATCGTCTCAAACAAAGCTCGTCCGAACGGGCAGATTGAAAATCCTGCGCGGTCGCGAATGGGTTAAGTTTTGCAGACCAGTGTATTATAGCAGATTAAAAATTATTTTAGTCAATATGAGAAATAATTTATTTGGGTTGCTCATTACTAGCATTAGCATTGAATTTTTTATCAACCAAATAGGTGGTAATTCCACCCTCCCTTTCAAAAAACGAGAAGAGCGTCGGGTGCAGACCATACACCACAAGTGACGACGGCCTCCAAGTAAATCTGGTTAGTAGTGGTTCATAGTGATAGCTGATTTTTGGTAAATGATAGTTGTAATTAGTGACAACTGATAGAATACAACTGCAACAGGCTAATCATTTCATTGGCAGAAAACATTTACATTTTGTGGAGGCCGTCGTCACTTGTGGTGTATGGTCTGCACCCGACGCTCTTCTCGTTTTTTGAAAGGGAGGTACCTATGGTCGGTAAAAAAATCCCATGAATTTTTTATGGTAGGAATTCGGAGAACAGATCAGAAAAATATTATTAATGTGCATAAATGCAAGTAAGACCCAATAAAAGTCATTAGGAATAAAGTGATAGAAGCCAAGCATTTGCGGCTAGTCAACACGCGTTTTTTTTTTCTTACGAGTACCATTGGGGCACCAATATGTCCTCAAAACTGTGTTTGCGGCTAACACAACAGGTTTCAGAACCCTAATTCGGTGCAGCTTGATTTTTGCACTTGCGAACTTTTTGTTAGAGAGGATTGGGGGGGGGGGCGGTGCGGTTTTGACGACATCATTGAAACCCTTGGTGAGATGGGCCCTCATCACGCTGGGTTATGTTTGGGACCACCTCTTAACGCTCCTCCAACAATTATGTTCAACTGCGTCATCAAAAACGCAGTACCTTCCAGTCATCGTGCTCAGTGCCTTTAGAATCATCCCTCGATCCTTCCTTTTACGAAAGTAGGAACAACCGAAATCGAACGCATTCTTGGCCGGTGAATCGGCACACAGAGCAATTTCCTCTTAGATGGTGAATCACAATATGTGGCAGTTTTGTGCTAGCGATTTGAGATTGCAATTTTAACATGCTTTAATGCGCTCTCAGTTGAAGGCATGCCTTAGGATCAATTGGTGTGGCTCTTGCACACGAATGCGAATGTATTGGTGCGAAGTGGGCCGGCAGTGAAGAAAAAAGGAAAAGAATCCGTCGAAAACGGTTAAGGGCTCACTCACCTTCCTAATCGGCTGTGCTAAGGGAATGAGAGACTAAGCGCGGAGAGGAGAGTATGAGGCGAGAGAGCGCAACAGATGAGAGGGCGCCAGACAACAGCCTGATAAAGAAAAAAATTGCAGCTGCTGCAGCTTACTTTGCAAGGCCCTAGCGCTCTTGTCGGTGATTTCCGTGCACGGGAATGCCACATCGTGATTGTCCTCTAGGGGTCTATCCTACAGACCGAAAGGAATCGTTCACACGACTTCTGCAAGAGTTGTGCCTTTAAACTTGTTCAGGAATACTGCTAACTCCAAAATGCAGCAATTAAGTAGCAATATAAAACACCAATGACATCCACAATTGAATGTGAAGCTAACTACTCGGGACTTTACAACGGCTCGCTGGCGAGAAGCGCTGCTACCATTGACAAGAGCCGTGAATGCAATCTCGTCCAAGTTGTCGAAGTACTTTCCATTTCTTCGCATATCATCCAGGCAGGGTAGCGCACTTAGACCATTTTAAAGATCACGAGGGGTCCTAAGAGAATATCTACACAAGCTGAAGCACATCCGTAGTTCAGACGCCTTCCATGCTCTGTCGAAAACACCATGCGTGGAAGAAGATCCTGTTTCTGTTCGTTTACTTTTTGGGGAGAAAACGCCACTCCGCTAATCTTTAGACAATAAGAACAGTGGCTGCATCATGTTCTTCTCACGTTTTTTGGTTGGCTGGTGCTGATGGTGATTTTCCTTTTTATCTTTTCTGACCTTATTTCCAGGCGATATGGTCTTTCCTACAGAAACGCCTTCGCCTAGCACCATATTCAGTCATCCATGTTACTTCAAACGTGAAGGATGAAGCACTAGACACTCGCCTGGCTGTTCTCTTGTGGATGGGCCACACGTATGCTTTCCTGTTGAAGTTGTAGAAGCAGATGGACGCTTACTAGAGCAATCTAATAGCGAACTGGGTCAACGTACGCCACGGCCTTTGTTCTCTCATTGAAAGCCACACCCATAATATTATAGAGAAATAGAGTTTTAATGGTGTCATTCTCCTCTATGAGGCTCAGAGGATTATAATAAGCCCAGTCTACACAGTAGTAAGACGGTACTATACTGCACTGTCTTTGGGTAACGAATCTCCGAAGATGTTGCGAAGCTGGACGTCAGATTTCAACACTTGTGAGTGGTGTGGTACAACGGCGTGGAAAAGAATAGTAGTGGAGATGATGCTGCTTCCAGGACATTCTGCTGGAAAGAGAATTTGAAGTATTCCTCTATGAGCCGTCGCACCACTTCTTACATCTCCTTTCTTTCTCACTTTTCACTGAACTTGTAGCTGCTTTTTTCTTTTTACTTGCATTGAAAAATAAAAATACCTGGAGCTTCAGCACGATCAGAAGATGTCTCTTTTATTGAATCACTTTTTATTGGTCAGTTTAAAACAGAACTCTTCTTAGAAGCACAATCAACAGACCTAATTTATTTTGATGTCAAGTAAAATTAACTTCCCAAGGAAAGCTCCATAAAGTGACCGCAGTTCTCCAGTGCTCTCGACATGGCGCTACTTCTGCTTATATGTTATATAGTGTGAAAGAAATCCTGGAATCGTAGAATGAAGCCAAAATTATCGCGTTGGTTCATACCTCGCGTGCCAATGGACATGCAGCTCGGTCTCCTTCTTTCCAATACTATTCCGGTTTCTAATTTTATTCGAGAAGTTCTTTTATGGCAAGTCCTGCGAAATTTTTTTCTTTCTGAAAAATATTTTTCTTTCAGTAGAATATGATTGCTGATTGCTCTTTGGAAGTATTTATATATATATTTATTTATTATACGACGTATATTCTTGCGCATAGGAAGTACTATTTGAGAAAAAACTTGCTGACATATTTGCAAATTTTTCTTTGGAGTTTTTTTTTGTGTTTTCTCAGTCTAGTGTGGAATTTGCCCGTAAAGTTCGCCCATCTCTATAGAAGACATGATTCATTCAAACAAAACAGCCATGGTTAGCAAAAATGGACCGGATGAGAGCTGAAAGTTTGTTATAACCATTGACAGCTCAGAAAAGTTCCTTCAAAACTTTTGCCCTTTTGGGGACTAATTTTTACGAACCTTCTCATGAAGGTGATTCAAAAATGTGGCTGCAAGCGAGCTTTTACGTTGATCTGATTCAGAGAAATCAACCCGTTTGAGTAGCCTGATTCAGCGAGAACAGGGTTGATGGCCTTAAAAACGAGACAGGACACTTGGGTGGAACGGAACCTGGGATAACCCCTTTTGGAGCAGTTGAGCCATTCCAGATAATGCTTTCCTAGCAGCATCACCAATTTTTAGTGCACCAGTAAATTATACTTTTCCTAATTTCTTTTTTTTTCCTATAATTTTTCCAGTTTTGAAGCTAGAAATGGTCACCACAGTGACGCTGTTTTTACGATTTCTGTAGGATAGAACACAGTTGCTGTGCTTTTGACCTTTAAGTCACAAGGTTTTGCCAAAATGTTGATCTTACCTAACTTTAACCTGAGAAAACTCATAACCTCCACCGACTTTTCCAAGGCGACCGCCTTCAATAGTCCTACTATCTTTCTGACGAAAATGCTAGCTTAAAAGCTTACCAGAAAACTGATATGAAGTCATTTGATATGCTATTCCTTATGAGTACTTTTCGTTGCTTAAGGTCGGCAGCGGTTGTCCCACAGAGGAAATTAGCGCTTTTCCTGTCTTCTCTACGCTCTGATTTTTGTTTTTGTGGAATGCTTGGATTCGAAAAATATTTAGAAGTATTTTATTATTTCTTTATTGTCTCATAAAGCACATTGTACAAGTATAACAGCGGGAGCTGCGTCGTTTTATCCTCGGATGATGACTGTCTTCTCAATGACTGTGGGTCCTCGCCGGAATCCACCACCGTAACCTCCTCCGTACGGGCCACCACCATATCCGCCATAGGGTCGACCAAATCCGCCACCACCATAGCGTCCAAATCCGTACGGGTTGTAACCGTACTGCCGCTTTTCTCGGATTGCTGTTGAGCTGGAAAAGAATATTTTTGGAAAAATGTGCGAAAAAGATGACGTCTTGATGAAGGCTAGTTGGTTTCTAAGGAAAATAAGCTTTTTTTGCAGAAAAGTTTGTTTTTCTCTGTATTAAGTTAGTAAAGAAACCCTGAACCTTGGTCCGACTGGGTTTTGGCTCGAATTATACCAAATAGATCTTGGAAAGACTCCATGTTTAGCACATACCTAACTATTGAAGCGATGCATACGACGAGGAGAGCAATGGTCGCCAGAAAATTCATGATTGTTGGTGATGATGGCGATAAAGTTATGGGGGCAGCCTTATATAGAGCGCGCCGTACACTGTCATCTCGCGGCAGTTTGTCCCCCAACCGTCTGGTTTCTTACATTCGCTGAACCAGGCTGCGAACAAAGTGATCTGTGTAGTTGTATAAGATTTATTCACTGAAATGTCCGCACAATGGGGACAGGATCAAGAACGCGGAAGTGGCTAAGAATCTTGGCGAAAACAGCCACCCCAAGTTTGTAGCGGTATTATGAGCCCTACGAGCCCCTGTTGTTATTCGAGATGAAGCCATCGGTCTATATGACAGCAACGAAAAGAGGAACTGCATTCATAGGATCAAAATCTCTCACAGGAACTAAATTCATAGGAAATTTAGTTCCAAACCGGGTGGTTAGTACTGGAAGCTAGCCAAGACTATACCAGCTAATTTATCGTTAGCTCAATTCAAGCAATGAATGGCCAATATCCTACTGAAGGTATTAAGAGTCCCGGCATTTTGTGAGACTGATTATCGAGCCGACTTATTGTGTGTTCTATCTAGTGATTTAGTTTAGTTGTGTGGGTGTTCATGGTCGATTTAGTTTTTATTAGTGTTGTGTTGATTTTTAACGTGTGCCTTAAGCAGCGTAATAAACCTAAACTTATACTTAAACAGAAGGGGAGGGGTCCGGAGGGAAATTATTGCAAATACTGTTGTGATAGGATAATCCGGTAGCTTCAATATTCCCTATCGGTTCTTGAGAAATTTTTCTTAAGGCGTTTACTATAAAAAGCTATATGACAGAGCAGCACCATTCTGGACCCTTCTGGTGACCACGTTTTCATTCACTACTCCCTTTAGAGGTTTATTACTGTAGTCTCGTCGAATCACTTGTACTTACTGTCCTTCAATCTTTGACCTATTTTCCATTAGATTGAACAGAAGACGAATCTACTTTTACAGAAGTAAACAGGTGGGCGGGAGCAAACTTTCTTGAAGCTTACTGTAAGAAATCGAAGAATGTAGTAAAGCCTGGTGCTAGGGTATACTTGTGTGGACACAGAAAAAAACCGTCGATTCCCTTCCCTGTCCCTCCGTACTGTTGCTTCATCCGTCATTGACCTTGGAGAAGAGCCAAATAATTAATGCTCGCTGAACTGAACTAATTTAGCCTGTTCTTTTACTCTTTTCCCTTTAGAGTAATGTTTTTTGCACCTTTACCTTCTCCGACAATTATCTGGTGTCAGCTACGCGATCTAGAAGTGATGAGCATAATGGTTCGACTGAGGTGATGGGCATGGACAGTTCAAGCAGAAAGAGCTCTTTTTTCAGAGTTTTCTTCATACAAACAAAACTCTTTACTACGAACTTTACAAAACCCTATGTAAAAACTCTTGATGACCTATATTATGCATTCGTTATTTTATTTCCATTTTTAATTATGTTGGACCACTTTATAAGATCTGCTGTTCTTCACTAGCCCTCAGACTTCTAGATTAGCTAGCACCTTTCTCGACACTACATAGAAATCACACTGGCCTTCAGTTCTTTGTTCAGAAGCTCTAAAATTTCCCAACAAACGTCATAATGTATAGCCATTACTTATTGGGTTATGGTTATTTGAAGGCTTCCATTCGAATCGCTGCAATTCATCATTCAGTGACCATGTAAGGATGGAGGGCAACACGTGGGCACTATCATCACCTCGCGTGACAAACAATTGGCAGAATGTGTAAGGAACTTGGACGTCCTTGTCTCCGCTTATCGGCCAAGGAGAAGCGAATCACGTCATTTGAATTCCGAAAAGGTTCTTGCGCTTTTGCCAGCCTATTGACCTAGGAGAAGCGATAGGAAGTAGTTACGTACATGATTCGATAGGACCTCTATCGGGAGCCTCAAGAAAAGGTCTAGGTAAGTGAGTAGTGAGTGCTCAAAGCGTCATTTGGAAACTGTACTTTTAGGTCTTTTCCCGCCGCATTGTAGAGGCCAAAAATTTGAAGCAAATTCCGAAAAATAGTGGAGATGTGAGAAGTACAAGTAGTGCCGAGTTCCATGTTATAGCACTTTATGCGCAGAGGGATGACAAGTATTCTGTATTTTCCAGTGTAAAAATGAAATATTGAATTTCTATAAAAAGATATCATTGAAATCCTAAAATTATTGATAAAAATTAAAAAATTATTATTATCAATTATGAAACCAGTTGTTACTCAGACTTACTGCCACTAAACACTCTCGAAACATGAACTCCACAATCGTTTTGTATTAACATCATTATTAGCACAAAGTATTTGAATATACTCTGTATAACTACCAAGCGTGCCCACTGGACGTATGGAAATAAATAAATAAATAGATTAATTAATTAATAAGTGAATCGTAGTACTAGCGCTACACGTTCAAACGAAAGTCAGCGGCTTTCTGACTTGGAAGGCAACGTCAGGCTTCCGTGGATCTTAATCTTTCCAGGATAATCCAGCTTTTTGCCGTTCTGTAGCTTGGCGAGATTGAACCTGCGCAGTTGAACTCACCTGAATCATGTGCTCACTGCTGAAGGCCACTTTTAGGTCTGAAAAGCGCCCATTTACTCTTACTGTTCCAAAATGAGTTGAATACACAAGGCGGCTCAAAGGTACTGAGAATCTTGAGTTCTTTCGTTGCCGGAGCAGTAAATCTTGTGAAATCTGTTGTTGATCGCGTTGCGATCCAAAAACTTTCCTGTTGTGTTTAAACCTCTTATGGACAGACTTCAGTGTCCATGGCCTAGTTATGGGAATCCTCGGAAAACGCTACAATGATCTGAGACTGTTGTGAATGACCTTGTCTAAGATGATCACAGAGTCGCCCTTCGTACGAAGTTTGTTTCCTGGCGGGCCAGCGGGTGTGTAATAAACTTTGGTACTTTTTTTTCGGAATATTGTAACTCAGCTGAGACACGCCAACGATAAGGATGTCACCGTCCGCTCAAGAATACATCCCTAAACATCGAAAAGCAGTGTATTCTTTGGGGACGTGGGCGTCGTTCATAGGTCCCCCCCCCTTCAGTTCATTTTACCAACTATTATATTTCATAGATCATAATTCGATTTGAAAATGTTTGAAGCTTGTCTACATATTCGAAATTGTTTGCTGCTTGAATTTCGTCTTGGCCGTTCGAACTGGAACACAAGATTCATAAAGCTTCTGAGCAAGGTTTCATCATTCATGTCCCCAGAGTGATGACTACAAGAGGGAATTTAAATTTGGACGATAAGGAAATAGCCGGCCGACCGATAGAAATCGATCCTTCCTAATTGAGAAGGATCCTAGGAGAAACTGTGAGAGTGTATAAATGAGAATATCGGGAATTCACACGCTGTATCGCTCCTTTACCGAGAAGGCGCTCACAATCAGTTAATATGTAATACGTTTGAGCGTTTGAGGATATATCACACTTTTTCACACGTTTTCTCGGCACCTCCTGACAAGCTGAAGAGCCTGTGAGCCGGACTCATCACCATGGTCGCTCCATCGCGGTCTGCTTGAGAATTTATCATCTGTGAACTGTGAACATCAAACATCATCCTATTTTATTCGACTACTGCCATGAGTTGCTTATACCACCCCCTCCCCCCTTCAATGCGCGTACTACCGATAAATTGATTAGTCGCTCGAAATTACGTGTGGGATTGAGGTGAAACTGAGATTTCAGTAGTAGGAGCCCCCCCCCCCCCCCGCTCGACGGCATTTTTGGAGGAAAAAGTGGGCGGAGTTTGGTGGGTTGAGTGGTACAGAATTAAATACTATAGAGAGATGATGGTGGTCGAGGTGTCGGAAAAGGGGGTCGTATCAAATCCACCTTGGGGGAGGGGGGTCGTAAAAATTTTCGAAAAGTAACAACGATAGGACCGACCCTGATTGGAACTCAGCTGTCGTGGCTACGCAGCTGAGTCTGCAACTGTAGTTGCGTGTACTGGCACGAGAGGGAGAAGGATTCTGTGATGTTGTGATGTGATGTGATGTGATGTGATGTGATGTGATGTGATGTGATGTGATGTGATGTGATGTGATGTGATGTGATGACATCAGGTCTGCTACGTGAATGGAAATTTGTGGAAGGCCTTGCTTTGTCTTCCACAAACTGAAAAAGCCTTGGTCAGCGCGAACGGTCACGACCAACCATGTCCTCAGCTTATGATGATTGAACACGATGATTCAGCGTTTGATAAAGATGGCTATGAGCTGAAGAAAGATCGGGCCATTTGCTGCATTCGCGCAATACTTCGCGTGATGGTGCTATAATTAAAACCTGGTTTATCTAGCTTGACATCTCGCTCACTACGCCATTCGCCGAACTTTTTCTCGCTTTTATGATCTTTGTTCCTAATCAGATTGCAATGATCTTTCGAAATGTGGAGCGCTTTGGGATATGGGGAACTTTTGGGTTTTGGAGGTGACGCCTTCTTTATATGAGTAGAAAACAGATGATCGCCAATCATTGTGCTAACCTATGACGACAATACGATCTAAATGTGTCTGGCGTGTGAGTTCGTGCATGTTTTACGTGAAATGTGGCCATGGCCCACCGGTGGCCCACACGGTCTCAGGAGGCCCCCTTATTCCTCTGCGTGTCACAATATTGGCTGACCGGCTGGGTTCCTCAGAGTTATCTCATAGACCAACTGTTCATTTCATAGAGAAGAAAAAGTGGTGGTTTATTTGGAAAATACTTGGAGTTTACGCGCACTGACGTACATCGTTGAAACTTTGGCTGCCGAGAAGCTGTTTGATTGCGTAATTCGTGGGTTAGAAAACAGCGAGGCTAGCTTTCTATAAGTGATACTTCAAAGCATATTTCTCCAGGGGCCGTAAGGTATGCTTCCCCGAATGGTTGCGGGGACGAAAGTCCCTTTAAATTTTTTGTTTTGAACGATACTGTTTCTTTATTTTCAATGCATGTTTACTTTAAGCTACACACATATATTAAATGTAGGCCCTTTATCAGGACAATCCCAGTTGGGACGACAGAGAAAATT